TTTTTTTTTTTTCCTTGTTCGCATTTGTAAAAGTTACTCCTGCTGCTTGCAGAGATGACCAAGAAGAACTGTCCTCCTGGCACAACATGGGACAACCTTGTCAACACCTGCATCCGAGGTTGGGCCGAAACACGACCTGAACCTCCAACAGGTGAGAATAACAGAGCAATGTTGTGTGCCTCTTATTTATTTTATTATTTTTTTTAAATCGGCGACTTGGTATCATTCTGCTGCTATTCATATCTATCGACCATTGTTCCTCTTTAAGGCAATGTTGATATTTGTCCTCATGCCATCGTAAAATAACACAAAGACGATGTTGAGCTGCAAATGTAGTTTTTCTTCTTTTTTTAACTTGTCCTTTCATGTATTCCCAATAGAGTTGACCCCAGTTTTCCATCAGAGAAGCACATCTCCTGCTGCAAGGGCGGACCCGGATATCGCTCTGAATCCGGTTCTGTGGATTGTGGTGGTTTTGACCACCGTGGGGTCCATCATGGCTTTGGCTCTCTGGTTCATCATATACAAACGACAGAGCAGGCTCGGTAGAACCTCGGGTATGTGTGCAATTCCATAGTATCGATGCAGCGGAAATACAGGACGGCACAACGCGTTTTGTTGATTTTTTGTTGATTGTTTATTCCAACTTTCTCTCACATTCCAAAAACACATGGCCGAGGTGCCTATGTAATAGCATTTTATTGAATAATTTTACTCTTATCGCAGTGAGCTCCTGCCATCTCAAAAAGTCATTTTTCTATGGTTATCGTCACTTCTCCATCGCCAAAAAGCAGCAGCACTGTTTAGTTATAGTGTTCGCGTTTAAATGGCACGCCTGGGCTCTGACTCAGAGGACAGGCGTCTCAGGAGTATTTTGGAGGAAGTGGGCTAGCGGGTGCTGGGGTGTAACACTGCCTGATGGGAGAAACAGCGCAGTTTCTGTTCTTCTCTCGGGCCTCCCATGGGTCAACCCCACTCTCTTGCTTGTGACTCGAGTTCTATTCTTAGCAGGAGATCAAATGAGATCTCCTGGTGAACAGCACATGAAGTGACAGTCAAGGTGATCTCGAACAGTAAGTTATACTAAAGCTGTTAGAAGAGGCCAGCCTGTCATATCTTATGTTCAAAAAAAGTCGACAAAATCCTAAATCCAAAAGTCTGAATTTAAAGAGCTATGCTCAATTTTTGCAGCACAATCAAAAATCAAACGAAAGGAGAAACGAGACTCGCCCATCGGTAAATTGAGACGATGCAAACTGGGGTTAACCGTTACTTGCTTTTTTAACTCAGGGAATGTATGAAATTAGATTAGCATTTGAAGGAATTCCGCGTAATTT